ATTTATTTATTTATTTTTGGATGTGTTTATATTTTCTGCAGAATAACAAGTTCAACAATGTATTGGGCTTTTTTAGTATCAACATTGTGTAGTGTCTTTCCCATTGAAAAAAGGTTTTACACATGTAGCAGACCTAGAAAATGTTTGCATCTATTTAGCAAATGTGAAAAAAATAATTTAGAATAACAGAGGAAACCACTTGCAGAATGAGTTCAAACCAACGCAGACAAAGAAGACTTTCAACACTATAAATTAGATATGATGTGTGAGAGAATAAACACATTGGTTTTGAGAACACAATGGAGACCTAGCCATTCTTTTGACGATTTGCCACTCAGTTGTCAGGGGGAAAGGTTCGGCCCGGCTGTTCAATTTTACTTCAGGTCAACCTGGGAGCAAAGAAGTGCCTGCAGTGAGCTCCAGGCTCGCTCCTGCCTGACATTCAGGACGGTGGAAAACACGATCAGGCTGTAATTCGCTGCACAAAACCAGACCATCGCTAGATAACAAGAGAAAAGATCAGCCTTTTGACAAAAGGTTTTTACAAAATGTTCATAAAACTTCACTTTGAATCAAGTAAAAACTACAGAAGTAAAAACTGACAATATGTTTTGGTATTGGTTTGTCTTGCTCCTATTCATCTCCTGCAAACAAACACTTGTGCCACCTTCCTCCCCCACCTGAACCTCTCTCCTCCTCCCCTCTCACCTCTCCAGGATTGCCCTTGAGCTCAGGGGCGAAACAGCCGAGCTGCAAAGACACCCCCCTCCCTCCACCACCACCTCCTCCACCTCCAACCCCCATCTCCAAAACCACAACACAGGCACAGCTGGAGTTCTCTGGAAATGGCTCTTCAAAGTAAGAGCATTTGTACCTTAAAGGTCAACACACATGCACACACACACGCACATGTGCACCATATGGTTGACATTTTGTAAATCTTTAAATGGTTTAAATACTTCATAAAATGTGTGAAAACATTAATAAATTATTCCAGAATGGGTTTAACTAAAGGTTCAGCTCATTTGAAATAGAAAAAGACTCAGGTGTTTTGAACCAATGCAAAAACAACCATACTTTGGTTACATTTTAGAAATTTGTAAAAGTTTCATTTTCATTTGTAACAGAGAAAGATCACATAACAACCACAGATTAACTCTGATAGAGGGGGATAGCTGATTTAAAAAATCTTTACTCCTTTTTTAGCTATATTGTTGCTGGAAATATTTTACTATTTTTTATTTTGGATAAATAAAGAGGAAATACATTTTTGGTATACTTAGATTATGTTTGGTGAGACAAACTAACATGATTTCTCTGAAACACAGTGATGGTCGTGTCATGGTTTGGGCCTGTTTGGTGAAATATGGGCCAGAAACATCTGTAATTACAAATGAAGCAGTGAATTGAGAATTATACAAGCCCACTCTGAAGACATGTCAAATGTTTATCAACTTAATTTCAAAGAAAAAAAGTAGGTAATTGTTCAACACAAATATGTTTGGCTTCAAATTTTTTTCTACCAAAAAATTATGATTATCCTAATATAATAGAAATTTGCAAATACTTGTACTTGTAAAAATGTCCTGATACCCTGAATCAACCAGGTTNGTGTTGGTGTTTACATTTCAAGTTAAATGTTTGTCAGTTTCATGTTCAAAAGGTTTATCCAAGTTTAAAGAAAATCTTTATTTTATTTTTTTTAATGTTGCAACAGTATATGTCATGCTGTATTTGATTTAATCCAGTCAGAGGGGCTGTAGTTCGATAAGGAAGGAGAGCTATGTTCTAAATAATAGAATTGTGTTTTTAAAGTCACTGTGTAATGTTTAAGTTCTAACGGTTTATCCAAGTTTAAAGAAAATCTATATATATATATATATAAATGTTGCAACAGTAAAGATCATGCTGTATTTGATTTAATCCAGTCAGAGGGGCTGTAGGTCGATAAGGAAGGAGAGCTATGTTCTAAATAATAGAATTGTGTTTTTAAAGTCACTGTGTAATGTTTAAGTTCTAACTTAGTAAGTACTATGTATGGGTATCAACAAGTGCCCAAAATGAAGTACTCCTCAGTTTGAGAAAATCTGGTATCGGGACACCACTAATTTTTTATTGATACAACAAAATATAAAATTTTCAGTTACAAAAAAATAAAACGTGCATTTCTAATTTGTATTTTTCTGCCAAATATAAAGTAAACACCACAAGCAATGAATTTTTATTTAGAAGTGTGTTTTGAATGGAAATGGTCACTTGTTGATAAGAAGTGTAAAATGGTCCAAAGTAAAATCACTTTAAAGAAAAAAAAAATCTCCGGTTCACAGAACTTTCATATTCAGTAGCTACAAGTCTTCATTTGTTTCCACACCTTGTGCAAATTCAGAGTAACATTTCCAACATATAGTCATTTAAGCATTAACCTGTTTGTTTTAATGTTTGTGAAAAATAAGTCTAAAGTCTCCTATGCCATCATATGTTGTGRTTTTAGAGAGTATTTGGCACTGTTGTGCTTACTGGGAAACAAAAGGACATGACGACACTCAAAGCTACATCATCCTGTGACAAAAACAAAAAACAAAAAAGAAAACGTTACCGCTCCTCATATGTATAAAAACTAGATTTTTACCAACCAAAGTTGGTGGAATTGCATGATGTGACCATAAAATGTCATCAGCCAGCAGCCTGAGTCCCTATCAGGCAGTCTGCTGCACAGAGCACTCTGAAGTAGCCGTGGGCGCTGGCCGCACTAGCAGGCACCCTCCCCCCCCATCGCCTCTCTTGTCTCTCTTCCTCTGTCTGTCTCTCCGTTTTTTTTTGTTTTTTGTTTTTTTCTTTTGCCGTGACCCTACCAAGCTCCACCACCCCTCCCCTCACTCTGTCACCCCTGAGGCGCTGCAGCTTCCATAGTGTCAGTGCCGGGGCCTCAGTGTTGACAAAGCAGCAGGCCTTCAGAAGACACATCAAACCCCGTCCCTCTTCTGTGCTGTTAGGGAGCTCAGCGCTCAACAAAAGGACAGGGACTCCAGTTTAAGTCTCGGGCCATTACGAGACTCAACAACACGGCTACAGACAGACAGAAGGCCCTCGAGGAGCCTGAACGTGTACCACGCCGTGCAAACATCGGCTCCCAGATTAAATCCCAGCTTTCTGACCGTTGTGATGACAGGGCTCTGACGGATGACTGTAAATATGAAGCATAAGTCAAGGCTGCGGGTTGATGCCATCCTGACACATGCACTCTAATGAGGACTGTGGGTGCGCTGCGGTGCCAGGGACTCCCCCCCGAGGCACTCCGAGTGGGGACGGGTGGTACGTGATGCATACCAGATGTGATTGGAGACATCACGCTGTTCACGTTGTTTTCTGCTAAATAAACAGATGCAGCAACCAAAGCAAAAGATCRTTTTTACCTCCGTTCACACATTCAAAGCGTGGTGCTGGAGTCGACAAGAATCAGGAGCACAAAAACACGCTTCGCAAGATTTTTATTTTTTGAATGCTTTGTAGAAACATATAGATATCTTAAACTGCAGATCGTCATCCTCCGGGTGCTTCTTTACCTGATAACCTTCTTCACAGGTGTTTTCATATCTTGTGTATAAATCTGTAATTAAAGCTTTGAACCACTTGATGGCAGCAAAACTGACCCTTCAGTCAAATCCCAAAAACTGGCCTAGATTTTAAAGATCAAAATGAGAAACTAAGAGGTGTAGTAACCTCATTTTCTTGAGTACTTCAGTATTTTTTAGGGTTTTAAATTTTACTAAGTGTTTTTTTATTGTAACTTTTACTTTTGTTACATTCAAAGGATAAAAATTATACTTTTACTTCCTTACTTTTAATTTAGACAGTGCAAATTGTAAAAAAATATTCTTTAAACATTATAAAAGTCATAAATGGATTGTTGTAAATGAGTAAAAGTTGTCACAACTATAGATATTTGAATTGTGAAGGTATAGTTCAATTTGCCTAACGGGATATCTTTCAGGATTTTGTGGGCGTGTCTTAAAGGGCAGCCTCGTGTCGACACGCGGCTGCCTTCAGTGTGACCCCTGCCCTTACAGAGCTAGCATTTTGTTGTTAGCTAGCTAAACCATTATGCCTCATTCTCCTCGCTCGTGCGTCTTCCCGGGATGTCCCAATGTGCAGGGTAGCAGTTCTGTGTCTTTATTTAAGTTTCCTAAAGAGGACCACCTGAAGAAACTCTGGATGGATTTTGTGAGCGGCCATGGCGGAGACACAAGGATTACCAACAACACTCGCCTCTGCAGCTCTCATTTTACTGCAGGTAGTTTTACAAACTACTTGGAGACACAGTTGGGATTTATGGACAGTCGATTGGTGCTGGTTCGTGAGGCTGTACCGACCATCTCCCTTCCYGACCCTCATCCTCCCGCCATCGCCGCTGCCACCGCTCCAGAACCTGACACGGGCACCTCCGAAGGCGAGCTAATGCACCCAAACAATGAAGTAAGTTCAAAGAGCAAAGAGCTAGTTCAAAGACAGACGCAAACGGTGGCTCGTGCGGTGAGGGCTCGTGAACGCGGACAGGGACCGCGCAATGCATTTTGGGAGTTTAGGACACGGAAGTTAGCAGCAGAGAYGGGTTAGCTGCGCAGTTTGTTTTGTTATTGTTTTGGTTTTGTGATCCACCGCAAAAGTACACTCAAAAGGTGAATGAAAGCTGTGTTATTAACAGCCGCAGTCCTTCTCACGATCGGAGGGGGAAACTTATAGCAAAGGGGGTGCGTTTTTTTTTCAGCCTTTCGGCATGAAAACAACACAGGAAGCCAGGCTGCCGAGCTAACAGATGGGTGGCAGCTGCCACGAACCAACATCACCTTCAGGAGGATTTCCAGAAATATGTTTGTGTGATCRCGTCATTTCCACACAGGTAAGGTTCAATGAAATATTAAACTTATTAACTACACATACGTATATAGCTTAGGATTGTTCATATGTAGCTATAACAAGCTAACTAGATAGTTATCTTAAGAGAACAACCCTAAAAGTCATGTATGCCCAGCTAGCTTTAACTTTGCACAAGCTGCACTGCTAGCTATATAATAAAGTTCTTTTATCCTTTTCAGGCAAGCCAGCCTACGAGTTGTTGGATTGTCATCCTGACTGGGTACCTTCTTCCTGGGCGCACAGAAGTTCAAGCTGGAGGAAARTAGGATCCTGAAGGAAGAGCTGTTCTGAAATAAATAATAAATAAAAAGAATGAGCRATTCTTACAAGATGATGTGATGGTCAAGTATTTCACTGGACTTCCATGTTTGGCTGTTTTTGATGGGAGAGCTGACTCAGCTACTTCTGTCTAACACAGACTTGAAACTGAGCTGAACATGAAAATTGTTCCACATAGGAGTGTTGTATAAATGACTGAAGAATATTTCAGTTTTGAGTTTCTTTATTTATGAAAAAATGTTGATAATGTTGATGTTTATAACATATAAAGCATGTCAAGGTTACAGTAACTGAACTGTAAATGCCACTGTGAGCAAATAAAATACAATTTGAATACAAACTAAAATTTAAACTGAAAATGTACTGCAGATATTTCACGTGAATAGTGTTCTAATAAAACCGATGGAGTGGCAGTTTAATCTGAAATATGCACCATTTCTGTAYACAAGTAAGTGAATAAAAATATTGTAAGCATATTTGCTGCTAATGAAAAATAAAACTTGAAAAAAAAAACTGGCTTTCAAAATTATGAGATTAAATTTAGGATTCTGAATGCCAGAAAATAAAAGTGAAATTTTCCCTTGGTGGGCACAAGCTTTAAATGRAAAAGGTAAAGTCAGCATCAACCAGTATGCTGGAGCATCAGTGACTGTTTTGRTCCCCTGTCTCTGAACAACAACTTTAATTTTAAACATTAGGGCACCAACAAGTGTGCAAGACTCTGCAGTGCCTGCCATTGCACGTGCAGTGTGCACAGTCCACTTGGCYGGTCGAACTTCGAATYRCCCATGGTTGGAGCWGTGGTTCATCCAGGCGCTKAGAGTGCAGAACCTAGAAAATGAAATTGTGTAAAATTAATGCCAAAATATTAATATAGAATTGCTGTAAACCCAATCAGCTTCACATCACTACTTATCTTCAGTTGTAAATATAGAGTAACTGTACAATCAGTTCTAGTTTTTCAAGGTTTAAATTCACCATTTTAGCTGATGTGAAAGAATTTATCAGTTTTATCTGTGTGTAAATATGCATGCATTTATGTGCTCCATGATCCAGGACAGGTGATCATGAATTTCACCAATTTGGAATAAAAAAATATGTTTTTCTCTATAATAATAATAATCAGAATAAACATTGTGTTTTACATTTATCACCAGAAACAACATGTAACAGTGATTTTAAAGGTTGAAGATTACATTTATTGAGTGTAAACAACTTTACAWAGTGTGGTTTAAATGAAAGACATTAAAAGAAATCAGAAGAGCTTTAATGTTTCTAATTAAACCAGGGGTGTCAAACTCATTTTCACCGAGGACCACATGAGCGTTATGGTGGCCCTCGAAGGGCCAATTGTAATGAACTTTGACATTTYATGTTTAACTTTGACTAAACAGTGTTTTAATACGTCCTTTTTAAAACACTGATAAGAACTAAGTGTACGACTGACTAAATCTGAAATAAATACAGAAATATTATTAAAGTAAAACTAATAAAGTCACAGAGTTTAGTAACATGTTGACAATGACAAATAAAGCAATCTGAATCTGAATGTTGCAAATGACCGGAACTCATCATGAAATGGGTTGTTTATGCAGTGTTGAAATTATTTAATTGAGTAAATGTAAAGCATTTTATTCAACTCTGTTTAGTGGAAGTAACTGCAACACTTCACTTCTTACAGAGWGTAAGTAAAAGTACTTTTTACTTTCTCAATTATTGTGAGATGTTTTATGACTTTTACTTAATTACTTTTCTTATCGGTGAAATTCATTTTTACCAGAATCATTTTCTGTTAAGGTGTTTTTACTTTTACTTAGTTATTTTTTAAGTACTTTATAGACCTCTGGAAACTGAAAGGTTGAGTGAAAAGCAAAGGAACAAAATGAAATATAAAATATAGATATTTTTGCCATGTCGTCTTTATTTTTGGGGGGGGAGAAACACTGTAGCAGTGCTTTTTCATCCATTCATCCATTCATCCATCCATCCATCCATTCATCCATCCATCCATCCATCATCTTAACCCGCTTCTTCCTTTCCGGGAGACTGGTTCCCATATCCAGCAGTCACTGAGGGGCGGGGTACTCCCTGGACAGGTCGCAAGTCCATTACAGGACCACATAAGATAAACAAGACAAAAATCATTCACTCTCTCACAATTTACTTAGTAATATTGTTTACTTAAACAAAAATGACGTGCATCTAAATGAAACCTGTCGGTTATATATAAAAAAAACAAGCACATTCTGTTTCTGTCAGTGTGGTCATTTAAACTCACTTTGATGAATTTGTGTCAGCTTTCAGTAAATTAACTAGATGTTTAACTTGTTCCAATAATTCCTGACCTAACAGGTCACATAGGAATCTGGATGCATTTTGTTTTTCAATGATTCCTTGTGTTGCATTAGTAAACCTGAATGCTTCAGAGGCACCACCAATAGGTGCAATGCCCCCATAACGTTGATGACCAATCAATGGCTGCCACAGCTAATCAACAGAAATAAACACCAAAATGCTAAATGGTTATAACTCAGTCAAATGTACAGATATTGAGCTTAGGTTTGCTGTGTTTGTAGCTGAGAGTCATCCACACACAAGCACTACACACTGCACAATGTTTTTGTACGTTTATGACTGCTGTTCTCGCTGTAAAATAAGAAACTGAAGAACACATTTCAACTCTGCAGTATTTTTTATTTTTCAAATAGCCCTTTTATGACAACCATAAGATTACTGAAATTSTGTTTTGGGTTTTGGTGCGCCCCTTAAACATTATGAGTGACCTTGTCACAATTAACTGTTGTTGTTTGTGTTGTCTGCTTAATATTAATTAAAAGTCTCAATCAACCAGATGAACAACAGTGAAGTCGTTGCTGTTTTACCTGTGAAAGCGGTATCGACTCATACGTGCAACTCTCAGAGAGCAAACACTCTCTTTGTGATCAGCTTTTCCCCAAACTTAATTGCTGGCCTAAAGCACAAGAGGGAGTTCTGCTTTGTGCTTGTTAGGTGTTTGTGTGCAACACAACCCATATGTTCTATTAATATACTGACACCTTATTACCCCCTCCCTCTCTCTCTCCCCTAGTCTGTCTCTGAAATAATGAACAATAAGTGTCGCTGCTGCACCTCAGACACACACACCAACATCAAGCAGAATGTCAAATGGCTGCAAGAGCGGTGCGATTGACAGCAACCGGGCTCCACGAGGCACGCAGATGACTTAAAGCAAGTTCTGAATGTTCTTTTCAAACTTTCTCCACATGCCAGAGGGCGAAGGAGAGGAAGTGTTGATCTGATGTAAAAGGCTTAAAAGAAATTCTTGCAAATGCTCACATTTAGACAGCATGAAGATCTGACTGTATCTACAGTTTTCACCTCACTGTATACAGTATGTATGAGAGGTGGATGATAAAAAAAAAACATGCTGGACAAACAAGCATCTTCAAGCATCAGAGTTTGGATGTAAAATAGGTTTTGTGAAGTTGGTTAATTTGAGTCATAAAGTATTTAAAAGTAGGGTTTTTTTGTTTTGTTTTTTCGCCACCAAAAGACAAAGGTGGAAGTTATTGATCTTGTCCGTTTTTGTTTGTTGTCTGTCTGTTACCAAAATATCTCCTGAACCACAGGACAAATTTTAATGAAAGTTTCAGGAATTGATTATTGGAGATCCATCTGCAACTGATTGCCTTGAGCAGTCACCTCCTTTCAAAATTGTTGCCACAAACAGCTAATCTTAAAAAAAATTGCTGCAACTTTGTTAATTATACAGATATTGAGGTAAAGTTAGTGGTTCTAGTTTAGACTGCTCTGCAGCATGTCTTATATGTTAGCTGATAGGTGAAATATGTTTGCTTTTAATATTGCCATAATTTTTCAAGTAATCTTAATTTGTCTGTTTGCAAAATATCTCATAAACTGCTGGATGGATTTTAATGAAACTTTAAGGAAATGATTGTTGGATCCACCTCAGCAAGTTAGAGCAAACTCTGTTCAAGACAACCACCACAGCTAACAGGCATTAGAAAACACAACAGTGGCTATAATTCTGACAATTTTATAGATCAGGGGTGTCAAGCTAATTTTCACCGAGGGCCACATGAGCGTTATGGTGACCCTCGAAGGGCCACTGGTAATGGACTTTGACGTTTCATGTTTAACTTTGACTAAACAGTGTTTTAACACGTCCTGTTTTAAACACTAATAAGAACTAAGTATATGACTGACTAAATCTAAAATAACTACAGAAATATTATTAAAAGTAAAACTAATAAAGTTTTACTCACTGATGAGTTTCTAGTGAGTAGCTAGTATGGCAGATTTATGGTGGATGCTGACTTGAAAGCAGCTTATTTTCAGACAGCTCAAGGGTCAGATTTATAAAAGATTGCRTGGAAACCATACCAAAAGTGAACGTACGGCCAAAAAACTAAAATGGCGTTCGCCAAAAAAAATTCAGATTTATAAAACATGCGTACGCATGTTTCTGCACATCTTTCCTTTTTAGATCACAGCTTCACCTCAGAGTTTGCGCACGAGGTCCCGCTTCAAGTTCTACCCTCTACACGCCCACACTCAACCATAAACAGTCAATGTAAAGTACCTCATGAATGTTAAGATGTATTTAAATCAGTCATCTGATCAATGTCAAAAGAAGTGATTGGCTCAGACACGCTCCGTCGTGCGTCTGGAGGATAATAGGTGCTGACAACTGCTCACGTAAACAGAATGTCTAAGTGACACAGATTTTCCCTCATTTTGCAGGTTTACAGACGTTTAGAGTAATCTAATAATTTTTATCAAAAACTCAGCTTCAAATTAATTTTCTCTCAGAGCCTGCAGGACGATAAAAACAATAAATAAAATTAAACAAGTCAGATAAAGTTAAAAATAAGTTCACCTCTCTTCTCCCCCATCCTCGCCCTCCTCTGTTATCTGCGGCTGACCATCTCCTCACCCCCACCACACGCACGTGAGAACTACGGACATTAAAAAGTGAATCTTTTATAACATCCACGCTGGCGAGGGCGCGCACCCAAAGCGTGACTATAACCAAGATTTTTGCTGTTGTGCTTTGCTGAACTGTGTCTTGTCGGGGAGGGGGTCTGTGAGTCAGGGTCGTGAAGAGGAAGGAGATGAATGGAGATGTGTGAACTTTTATTTAAGATTTAAGTTTTTTATTTCAAAGGTCCTTATGGCTCAGCAGCAGAAGCACAAATTACACTGTTAAGAAAGCTAAAGTCTATCTAAAATCTAAGTCTGATTATGAAGTGAAATCAAATATCTTACAGTGATCATTACACAGGGTGGCTCTAATTCCTCACTTCACCATCTGTGTCGCAGTTTCCCACCTCCAAAATGAGCGTACGCGTGGGTCAGAGCTGGCTGAGGCACCGCACATTTTCACGTCAAGTTTGGATTTTATAAATCACAACCTTGGCTTGAAAAGTGGCGTACGCACGTTTCTGGGCTCCTTTTGTGCGTACGCAAGCTTTATAAATCTGACCCCAGTTACTTAAAGCCAACTGCTCAGGGGCAGGACAATTGTTATTATCTTTCACCTTTTAAATTTATTTTGTTGCATTTAATCATAAATTTAAAGTTTAMCATTGATATAAGAAACAGTTTTCATGTAAAGTAAAAAAAATATATATATGTATTTTTTTTTTGGGGTGGGGTACCCCCCTGGCACGCGGGCCTTGAGTTTGACATGTGTTATAGATTTTCTAAAATTTGCTGTGGAAGCAGGTTGAAGTCAATCACAACACATCAAAGAGCTCGATGAATAAAAATCCTCACTTCAGACTTGATTTATGAACCAGGACAGATTTGAATCAATAACTGGATGTACATCTACAACCCAGTTCACAATGGCTGCAATTTACTATGAGCTAAGACTTTAAAGTCTTTCATGAATGCCTTAATTAAGGTGGTTTTACCACATGTAACCATAAATAATATTCACTTCTGATTCCAAATAGGTCAAAATGACATGTTGTTTCACAGGGTTGACTCTTACCAGCAGATGGTACTACAGTGTTTCATTTTCTTATAAACCACTAATAAAAAGCACAACACACAAAAAATAAAAATAAAAAAATGGTCTCACTTCAGGTGGAGTTTCTTGTCACACAAAACAATTTAAAACTAAAAAGCTTCAGTCATGATCTCTGCATATAACTATACATCTCTACCATTTCAGACAGTATTTGATTGTTTTTGAAGGACATGGAAAAAGTCTGAAAGTAGAAAAACTTCAAAGATCACAAATTATTCTTTGCTGAAAAGATGAGCAGAGACAGACACAGGGCTCCTCTGTGCCACTTTGAGCAACACTAATAGCACCTGCCTTTTGGACCTGCAGGCAAACTTATTATCCATATAGGGTCATGCATTAATTCATCCACTTCATTAGCATAAGAAGTCAGAGAGACTTTAAAATATTGACTGATGTATGCATCTTAAACATCCTCATTTAAAATATGCACAAAAACCTATATTATTTGAGTTTTGTATGCGTTTATAAAGAAAAAGTAGAACAGAGCTGTTATCTGTTAGTGCTGCATGACAGAGACCAGACATCAATAATCTCATTAGCTGAGTCAATTATTACCATCAGATCAGTTCTGATCCCTAAAATCTGTTTGAATCTGTCACCAGTTAGTGGCAGGTCCCCCCCTTTTCACCTGCTGAGGCCCAGCTGCTCAGGAGGCCAGATGTTTGGATTTCTTCCGAAATCTCCAAGCTGCATGCAAAACATGCTCCAGATGACCTACTTCTTCCAGTCAGACACCGATAAAAATCCATAAATTAAAGAAATTAACTGATAGGGCCCGGGGCCACTTTGTAAGCTATTTAAATCTTTAAATTTACAACATCCCTGCATATTTCATGTATTTGAACTAACTCCGGGCTTGTTTCCTTTAATGAGAAAAAAAAAAATCTGATTTTCCCTCAGGTTTTTTTTTTTTTTTTACCTCTGGAAACAACAAATCTAAGCCAGAGGCGGTGGGGTTGGGGGAGAGATGGGAGCGCTCTGAGGCACGTGCAGGTCTCTCTAATTATACCAAAAAGTTTATCTGCCTCAAGGAGAGACGCATGCTCACACTCCCATCAGTCCTGCTGTCACATATCACCAGAAATATCACTTTTGTTTATGCAGAAAGGTGTACTGTGATGCAACTTCTTCTTTAGGATTTCCCAAAAGTGGTTTGGGACTGCATGAACCTTCAAAAACACATAATTTCAATAAAACACCCATTTTTTTTCTGTCTTATGATTAAACCACCGACGTCTTTATGTAAATTCCGTGGACCAATAGCACAGTTTCTACACTGGTTGGCGCCAAATATCAAGAAACCGCACGTCTCGCGCCAAAGCCGTGCACTGGGCTTCAGTGTTGCATCAATAATTCATAGTTATACCCCTAAAAAAATTAATAAACAAAACAAACACATAATTATCTTATTTAAGGTGCAAGTACCTGCTTGACCTCCTTATTATTTGTTATTTTTTTAATGGGGGGGGGGGGGCAACTCCTGAGCGCCTCCTCGCTTGCATTGTGTAAAAAAATAATAATCAGCCACAATCTGCTTTTAAAAAAAAAGTCTGGAGGCTGCCTGCTTTTTCTTTCACTTGGGAGTGAGGGGGAGGGAGATGAGGGAGGAGGGGGGGTGTTCTGTGCAGATATCTCCATCTAAGCCCCCCCYGCGCTATAATTGAAATGGCGCATTTGGCTGCGGGCAGGTTGTGAGGGCGCTTTCTGCAGCAGCATGCATGCATGTCCGCGCGTACACGTCATTTGGTTTTAATGGCCCGCAGGAAATGTTGGCGCTCCAACTCCAGACATTAAGGGAGGCAGAGGGAGGGAGCAGGGACAGACTGAAGGATGCACCTCTTCGTTTCAACGTGCTTATTTTGACTTTATCAACAAGTTACTGCCAGCTTTTTATTCCGACTCATTGCCCGGGTGAAGGAGCACGGCTGCTTCCCGGGCTTTAAACTTTCAAAGCAGGCTGCAGATGGAAGCTGCGGGACCGCCTGGGGAACTATTACATCAGACGAAATGACAATGATTAAAATCTGCTCAATCTAAAAAAAATCTGCATCTGCTCAGAGACTGACACTTGCCTGTTAGGTTTCCTCACTCGCTCCCCCTCATCCTCATCATCATCCTCATCATCTCCTCTGTATCACAACTTCACACCGTTCAGAGGAAACGCTCTACTTTTTGTTTTTTGCCGTGAAAGAGAAAAAAAAAGAGGGGGTAGAGAGAGAGAGAAAAAATACAAGTTATTATATCTATGAAGTCATAATTTCAGGAATAGCGGGGTATCACATTTTCTTTCCTTGAGAAAATTGCCGAGGCGAGAGAGWGGAGTTGAGCTAATTGTAGCCTAATCCCTGGCCCAGAGGCGCTCGGGCAGCCCGGAGCGAGATTTTTTTTCTCCCTTTTTTTTTTCTTTTTTAGCTCCGCTCTGTTATTTAGAGAGGGATTATTGGCTTTCTTCGTCTCATAACAAACCACAGGGGCAGTTTCATTTAGGGCAAACAACAAAAAAAGAAGGAGAAGGAGAAGAAGAGGACAGGCAGACAAGAAGAGGCAGAAAGACGGAACGGGATTCCGACAAGAGCGCACATTTTATGCGTAACCGAATCAGAGCCGAGAAGGGGGAAGGAGACCAGCTCATCTATGTTCAAGGTAAGGACGCTTCCTGCGCGCTTTGGTACGAAGCAGCTGGCTGAGGACAGGTCGAGGCAGTCGTTTTTTTTTTTTCTCTCTCCCCCTCTTCTATTCAGCCTTTAAAGCCACAGAGGCACTTTGCGAGCAGGCGGTCGATCCCGGACACAATTTTTGTGTCTCTTTTTAGAAAAAAAAAAGCAGTTTGTTGTGCGTGTCGAAGGGGGGTGGGATAGAGTGGGGTGGGGGGGAAGGAAAAGACTTTGCTTTCTGTGCCGTGTTGGTGCGGCTTCGTGCCGAAGCTTGACCGTGGGGTTGGTGCGTTTGGAGACAAGCTGGTTTAGGTTTTTTTTTTTTTTTTAACGCGGACAGCAGCTGGGACTGAGCCGCCGGTGTCGCCGGATTTCATCTGGACTTCCTACAATGTTTGAAACGGTACGGTGACAGTTTTCATGTGACTCAATCCTCTTTTGTATTCACGCAAAGTGCGGTGTCATCATGTAGGAGTTCTGGATGTTTTGTGGTTAATTCCGCACGGCAGGAATGAGGCGCCATGTTGAGCATGTGGATTAGAGGCAAAGAGCTCAGGGTTGTCATGTCCCTGCGGTGTGTTGCTGCTCTGTCTGTCGGCCTGTCTATTATTTCCCAACCCCATCCGCGTGTCCTCCTGTGATTTCTCTCCATTCTGGGTCATCTGGGTTTCTGCGTGGAGTGGAATCCGCTCCGGTGTCTGAGCAGGCGGCAATCAGTGGAGAGACTGAGGCAGATCTTTTATAGCTCCTTTTTGTGTGTGTGTGTGTGTGAATGTGTTTGTGTGTGTGTGGAGGAATTTTTTCCACGTTTTGTCTGCTGGTGTGTGTTTCTGTGTAGCGGTTAGATAAAAAATATTAAACATAAATATGGCTACTTTTTCCTGCTTTTTATTGACTGAACATGTGCGTAAAACTGGTGGGACACAGAATGAGAGATGCCGGTGATGGGACAGGGCCAAAACTTTCAAGTCTCTCCAAGTTTTTTTTTCTCCTCCTCCTCCTCCCCTCTCTCTCCCTCTTTTTTCCCAGGGATTTGAAATGTAATCCCGTCCGCCTGTAATCGTATTAAACGAACCCGATACTGCTGTGAGGAGGGCAACACCCTGGAACAAAAAAGAAAAGAAAGAAAACTCGAGTCTCACTTTGGTGCCTGGTGGCAAATGTCTCAAAGCCGCAGGGAGGATTTCACCCATAGATGCAGAAAAATATAACAGCTCAACTAACTGATCTAAGCAGATGTATTAGTTTTATGAGGCTTCTATTTTAAGTATAATTGAAGGTCTTTGAGGTTAAACAGAAACCAGCTGTGACGATCATTTCAAAACAAAACAGCGGCTAAACCTGAAAACTCGGTGTCCAACAAGCAACACATGAGCTGAGGTCAGCTGGTTTACCTGCAGCTGATGGTAAACAAATTAACAGATTGCTCCCTGTAGAATAGATCAAAGTCAAATGAGCCTCCAGTTGATTCAAAATCTATATTTTAAAGCATCTGATCGGTTAATAATTACTCAACCCTGGCCTCTTCCTGATGCGAGCTCCAGTCCCAAACTCTCTTGCTTATCATTTATTGTTATTTTTTTAAATTATATCCGAAACCTGAAATGTTTCTCTGTTAGCTCAGACTGAGCAGGACACTTCCTGCTTCGGCTTGATTGTCTGTCAGGTGCGGACAGTCTGAGCTCTTTTACCACCGCAGCGCGTTTTTACGCACAGTGCGTCTTTTCAGCCCCGTGTGGAGTCACATGACAAGACATCACCTGAATGTTATTTTCTTTATACGATGAATGTGTATATAGGTGTAAGTTAAGAAAAATGCCCCCCCCCCCCCCCCCCCGTCCACACACACCTCCGCCCTCCCCCCTCGCGYCTCTCCTGCTCTCAGATTGGTGCGTCTTGGCGCATCACGTCTAACACATAAGGCGACCTTTAATTAGAATATTGCAGCAGCAGTTTATTTTATCCCCCTGGAGGCTGACACCTAGCATCACCCACCCTCCTCCTCCTCCTCCTCCTGCCATCACCCCCCCCACCCCCAATCCTATCTGTCTATCTCTCTCTCAGCCCTGTTCCCTAATAAGCATCCTCCTATCCTCGCCCGCGGTGCTGCATGAAAAGATGCAAACATACTTAATTAGAGCGGTGGCAATAATTTCCAGGCTAAACATGCGACCAGACAGACATGGAAGTGATCTGATACCATCCAGGCAGGATCCTCTCCTGAGCAGGATCACTCCGTAGATGTTTTTTAGTTTTTTTTCTCTCTCTCCTCTCGTTTACCWTTGTTCCCATGGCTTTTCTCTACACTTGCTTTCAGGAGGGAAGAAGCATGTCACGGCTCTCTCTGACCCGGTCCCCGGTCTCTCCTCTGGCTGCCCAGGGGATCCCTCTTCCCGCACAGCTGACCAAGGCGAACGCCCCCGTGCACATCGATGTCGGGGGCCACATGTACACCAGCAGCCTGGCGACCCTCACCAAGTACCCAGACTCAAGGTAAGAGGCGAGCCCACCTCCCCCACGGCTGTCTGTCTGTCTGTCTGTCTGTCAGGCTTTGGTCAGCTGATTCAAGCAGCTGATTCACAACAATCTCATTAGTCAAAGAAAATCACTTTCTGAGAAGAAGAAAAAAGTTGACAAATGAAAGAGTGATTTGTATTCTGCTGTAAAAGTGAGGCAAAAAGAGATCATTTACCTAAAAACTGGAAACTTTTTCTAAATAAGTCAAATGAGTTGTTCAGATAACAGCATTTATTCAAGAAGTTATTCGTTTGTTTCACCGGTGTTGGAATCTGAATTTGTGATTTTTTTTTTTAAAGAAATAACTTTTTTAGTTTAATATCTTGTGTTTTCCAACCGTCTAAACTTGCCCGGTTTTCTTTGCTGCAGGGTTTGATTTAAGTTTTTCTCATTCTTTTTTATAATTTTATTTATACGTTTCTCTAATGTGTTGGGTGAATTTAGCATGTTTCCCTGCTGATGTCAGTCGTTGCGTTTGGGTGAATATTCAGCATGCCCCCCCACCCCCCACCCCCAACACGCTTTTATTTATGTATTAGATTTTTTTTTACATCAGTAGATGTGAGAAATCCTTGGAGGGAAAACAATGATGTAAATGTCCGAAAGCCTGTCATCAAAGGCTTCAGTAAAGCAGCTTTGAATCTGATTAACATCCAGCACATCGACGTCTCATATTGACTTTTTTAGCCTTTTTAAGACCAATTTTATGGGTCTTTTTTAGAGAAATATGTGTGTTGAGTTATCCAGTTTATTCATTTTCAACCTCTTCATACTGCCCCACCTCCTGTTTTAACTTTCAGTTTATTGAAACAGAAGCTGGCATTATGGGTTATGTGCCGTGGAACTTAAAATAAGCTTTAAAAGTTTGTTTCCATGGGAGGAGAGGAAAATAAAAGTGGTCCTCACCCATTTCCAACATCAACAACATAAAAGAGTTTAATGTTTTCGCTTCAGTTCTGATCCAGGGTTACATTTTTTTATTTTTATTTTTTGTAGATCCAAGCGAAGAACTAAGACGTGCCATCTGATTTGAACGTCCTCCTTTTACGTTTCACAGCATCAGAGTTCGTGTCTAATGCACAGTGTCATTCATTACATTACAACGCCTTCAGTTCTGCATCAGCTCAGTCCCCAGTGGGACAAGGTAAACATCCACCAGAGAATCTGCCAAATTGGCTACAGGAAACGATCCATGTAATCCCCTGCTAATAAAAACTTGATACATAAAGTCTGCTGACGGGAAATCCCTGACAGCTCTCCCTTTCATTCCATTCGAACATGTCAGGAGAAAAATAAAGCTCCAACCAGGCAAGGGTTTAATACTGGTTTTGTTATTTAGACATTTTTTTTCTGCCCAATATTTCAGTATTATATCAGCTTTATTCAATTCAATAACAGTGGCTATTTATCTTTTTCTTCCATGTTTTCTTTTTTTTTTAAGCTTTGGTGTAGATTTTACACTTCACAAAGAAGTTATTCAAGGAGCAACACACACACACACACACACACACACACACACACACAC